ACCAGAACCAAAAACAACTACAAAGCTATGAAAATGACGTCATTAATTTTGTGTGGTTTTCTTATTTGCACAGCTCCTTTAAGTATAGTTAATTTTTTGACAGTATTTGGACAATTTAGATGTTCTAGTATAATAATCTCGTATGTATTGTTTTATGTTAATTCAGCTTTAAATCCAATTATATACGCTGCTTGTAATCAAGCATTCCGAGAAGCTTTCAAATTGGTTATAAAACAAAAATGTCTAAATGCTTAAAAATTCTCATAATGTTCTGACGTTTATACTTTCTGTATGTTCTTCTATTGAAACATTATTGCAGTCGCATTTACCTTTGTTTGCAAATTCATTTTAATCTAAAAGCTTCAAGTACTGTAGTGTCAGGCAACTCATCAGACAAGTGGCTAATTTCCCTCTGGTCCTCTCTGGCACTACCACCGATTCTACCACTTAAGGCATATAGGTCTTAATCAATAGCTGATGATGTATCCTAATGTATTTTAAAAGAGAAAACTGTTAGATGTTTAATGTTTTAGAATTGGTTATATATTTTTTTGTTTATATTGTTACAAACAATATAAACCTAGTCATTGTTGGCATAAAAAAAAGTGAGCTCACAGGTCAGGTTGACATTGTAAACACAGTAGTAAAATGACATGTAGAAAGCTAAAATTTTGCATGTAGGTACTGTCTGATGTGTAGTTGAACTGCTGGTAGTATCTTGCGTTTTTGATGAATAATAAAGATATAGGCAATAAGACCTATAGTCTGTACTATACTGTAGAACTGCACTACTATTAGTATTTTACCCTAGGATCGGAACAGACTGCTGCTACAAACTATTCAAACAAACACTAAACAAATATTTTACTGACTAGGTCTAGACTAGAGATACAATACCATATTCATTTTGTTTTTTCTTCTGAACATTTAATGAATAATTTATTCATGATGGATCTAATTCTAAGACATAAAAAGAGTGTTAAAAAAATTTCCAACAGAAGCTGACAATGTAGAATCCATTGTCTGCCTAGTGTGGTGAGTCATCTTGGCGTTTACACCTTAGATTTCATTCTAAGTACAATTCCCCGCCCACGGTTTACATCTGAACTTACATATACACCCTAATGCTGTTTCAGTGATTTGGAAATCAGGTTAGGGTACACGGTATAAAACAACTTAAAAACAGTTATGCTTCCATAATTAAATAGGCAGTATACCTTAACAAACCCTTGGGCACTTATTTTCATATCAAGATTCAAGCTTATAGAAGTTATTGTCTACGCTCATCTTATCTATGTCTAAGATACTATTATGTGGATTGGTCATGCACATTTACATTTATAGAATTTCTAATTTAGATTAATAGTCAATTTAATGAATAAATATATTCAATGTAGTTTACTTCTGAATACAGGTTTTATGTATTTATTTTGGTATACAAATTATCAATTATATTTATACAGACAACAGAAACATTATACAGAGTTTAAATGTATGGCATCAATAGATATTTTTAACAATATAACTATTCATTATGAACTTTGGAACTGTTTACAACTTATAACCAGGCTTCAGGGTAAAAAAAAATGTTGATATGGTGTACAACTGATTTTTTTTTAAAGACACAAAGTGATGTTTGTCTAAAAGCTCAGAAACGGTTACTGAGTTGATTGAGTATTTACTGTAAAAACTGAAAGAAAAGGCAACATAACCATCCTTTTTTTCCACCTTTACAGTGCACGTCAATATGAAGACATGTCATTTCTGCGCCAATTAATCTGAAATTTCCATGAAGTATAGTTATTATTGGTTCCTATTAACAATAGGAACCTTTGAATTCGACTGGGTGTCATATGATACCTTCATGATGCACCAATTCTCATTGCACGTCAATATGAAGACATGTCATTTCTGCGCCAATTAATCTGAAATTTCCATGAAGTATAGTTATTATTGGTTCCTATTAACAATAGGAACCTTTGAATTTGACTGGGTGTTATATGATACCTTCATGATGCACCAATTCTCATTGTAGTGGGAAATAATCTAATTATATACGCCGTATTGACAAACAGTACTTTGCAACAGCCACTAATTACACTGGTGGCTTAGCTTGGCATTTGTTGATCTTTTGACAGCATTGAATGGTGTTTTATTAGCGGCAGAAGAAGTGAATTCGGAGAGTATTTGGAGAGAAACTGAAGATGGAAAGCTTTCTCTGTGTCCATCTAAGCTATGCATTATAAAAGTAACTATTACAAGTGTGTCACCATGTACTGTTGTTAGCCTTTGAGTGATATTTGGCTGTTTTTTATCCATTTTTTCATATTCAACAAATCAACAATAGTTTTTTTAATAAAGGTTATTGTCTTCTTGTGAATCTTATCTTATCTCCTATACCATTTCTCCTGAAATTGAATAAAGAACATTGGCTTTTGTACATTGAGATTAGTTTTTTTGCCTGGATGTTTACACTAGTTTGTTTTATGCATGTGAAAATATTTGCGAAAACTAGAAAACATCTTACATCGCAACGCCACCCTTGTCTCTAATCTGCCTTTGTTTTACATATTTTTTGGCTACTGTTCCAAGTTTATGCCACCCCTCTGAGTCCCTCCTAGAACTAAAAAAACTAACCATTTACCTGGTCACATTGTCCAAAAAATCAAAACAACACGAAAACGTTGTTGACCAGAAAGAATTTAATGTCAACATCGCAACTTCCTTAAATCGTTATTGGTCCAGAATGTATCTACGATTATGCTGATCATACATGTGCCAAAATCTTACTATCTCAATACTGCATAAATTTCAAGTGGGAACAGAAGGCGGAGGTCACCAATTGATGCCAAAATAAGACCAAATAGTAGTATAGGTTGAATGCTACAGAAACTTAGAAGTAGTTACTTATTAGTCATAGAGAGCGTATATGCAAATTAAGTCACAGAACTTTGGCGGGTAATGGTAGAAGAGGTAAAGGGTATTTATATAAATATGACCAAATCACAAAATAATTACAATTTTAATATATTTTTTCAGTTATACTTATATGTTTTTTTGATATATTGTTCTGGTATTTGTTTTTATTTTAAGTAAATTTTATTTATATTGATCTTGTTCTTGTAAATTAATGCCCCAGTTCAGTTACATAAATTATATTTTATATAACTGCGATGACATTTTTATTCAATAAAAGATACCAATATATAATAATACAGAAATACACATTTAAAAAAAGTTTGGATAAGGAAGGAACCAACTTCATAGACATCAAGACGAAATACAGTCTCTAAACTATACTGTACTACTGCACTATTATTAGTATTCTAGCTAGGATTGTAACAAACTACTGCTACAAACTATTTGAACAAACACTAAAAAAATGATATGACTGACTAGATCTAGATTAGCGATAGAATATCATAATACTCTTAGTATCTTCCGAACGTTATTCAGGATGGGTTTTTATTCTGTGTGATTAAAAGCCAGGCTCCGGAAGAAAAAGAAATGATGTGATGTACAACTCAACATACAGAATTTAAATGAATATAACAATTCATTATGAACTTCAGCATAATTCGCAACTTATAACCAGGCTCTGGAGTAAAAAAAATGCTGATATGTTGTACTACTGTTTTTTTCTTAAGACACAAAAGTAATGTGTGATGAAAAATCGGAAACGGTTAATGAGGTTATTTTTGAGTATTTAAAAACTGAAAGGAAGTTGGGGGTGGGTGAAGGTGTGTGTAACTTTTTTCACCTTTACGTAACAGTACATTATCTTTTGAAATTGAGTTTATATTTATTTCTGAAATGTTTGAGAGTTAAGTAGTAAGTTAGACCAAAAGGATAATGTTGGCATACAAACGATTGGTGATATAATCGTCCGGCCAAAACCGGACCAGCCGGACCGCTTCCTACGGCTTTGAGTTAACATGATGTCATTAAGTTCTACATCGTCGCAAATCAAAAGCTCCCTATTCAGTAGTATACATACTTTTGATCATAACACAAATATAGAGAGGGTCATTCATGTTTATGAAATATCTTGGTGTCATTTTTTATTTTTTTTTATTTTTTTTTTTTATATGGGCCTTGCATATTGGTATTAAATATGTCTTCTAAAATTTTAAATAGAATTGGTGTGGTTCATTGTGTCAAAACAATACTTTCCTTTTAAAACTACAAATATGTTGTCAAATGCAATTGTAATGCCATTATTTGATTATTGTGATTGTATTTGGTCCAACACAACCAAGAATCACTTAAATGAACTTCAAATTCTTCAAAATAGGCTAGGAAGAATTCTTTCATCTGTTGACATTCATACTCCCAATTCTTACAATCATGAATGAGTTGGGATGGAAAAGATTGGTCGACAGATGGAATGAAGATCTTCTATTATTAACTTTCAAATGTCTAAAAGAAAAGGCCCCATCTTATTTATGTAATAAATTTATCTGTAACAACAATAATCACCCTCAATGTACTAGGAATAAGTCTGAAACAACTCGATTGAACAAAAATGGAATCAGCTACAAGGCAAAGGGACATTTTTATATCGTACAACTAAGCATGATATGGAACAGCCTTCCAAATGAAATTAAAACAAAATTTAATGAACTTTACCTACAGTCTTTTAAAAATCATTTAAACTATATGTAGTGTAACTTTATTTTACTCTCTTCTAGACGAAATATTGTATCAAAATTTTACTGATTTTTCCTTCTTTCCTTTTTCAATTTTGTTGTAAGTTTTTAAGCTATTTTGTTTTCGATGCAGTAGTTTTATATTTTTGTACTTATTGTTTTTCTTTAACTCATTAATTTTGTCTTAAGTTCAATTTCTTTTTTAATTTTGGTTCTTTTATTCTTTTTACTTGCGATCCACTTGTGATACCAGTGCTGTACATCACTGAAAGTGTTATCACAGAAAAGACAGAAATAAATAAATAAATATACAAATGCTTATATATGTTTACAATATCTAATTCTTGTTAGGGTCGTCCTGGACGTATAGGACCAGCAGGTGCCCCTGGTCAAAGAGGACCGATGGGTAGACCAGGACCTACTGTGAGTATTATATTAATTATTATTGATAATCTTGGCATTTGCATGTTTTTTTTAAATAATTTGTTAATGTGTATTGATAAATAATAATATTAACACTAACAAATTTTCTTATTACATAATACTTGCTTGAATACTTGCTTGAAGTATTGGGACGTTTAAAGAAGCTTTTATGCTTATAATGATCCATACAATTCAAGAAATGAAAATTTCAACCCTTCAATATATTTAAACTAGAAGACATCACAACTTCTTATGGGAGACTGTTCCAAGCCTACTTTTATACAATTTAAAACCCCATTCCCGGCAAAATTTCATTTTTTAAGAAAAATCTAATTTTTGTATAATGTTATAAAGATTTATAAATATAATACGGAATTGCTAGTTTAACTGAAATTAGACATTCCTAAGAATGAAAAAAATGTAAAATAAGACTGAAATTTGATTTTTTTTTTTGTGTTCCACACAAAAAATAAATGCGGATGAATTTTTCATGTTTGATTTTGCGATAGGTCCTGAGAAGAAATATTGTAGGCGCCGAAAACATTAGCCTATCCAACGCTGCTAGGCTAGGCCTAGCCTTACCTCGATTTAGGTTCTGTTATCACACATAAAAACGGCCGACATGATATTTTCTGTTGCTAGTATTGACACTTGTGAAATATAATATTTCATAGGAATTATTTCAAATTTGTTAAAAACTGATTCTGACTGAGACTTTTGACACTTAAACAAACATATCTCAGCCTAACCGAACGACCGCATTGTGCGAGATACGAAGTACAAAAACTAATCTCATTAGAGAGGGCGCGCTTTATTGACTGTATAAAGTATACATAAAAGCGAAGTATTCCAGTGGATGCGATCTACAACCTCTGAATTTGCCTAGTAACGATGAATTTGTCGAGAAAATGGTAATATTTTATGAGAAATAGTCTTTATTTCTCTTTTTTTTATTCTTTTGCGTAAAACTAAAATTCATGCCAATATTTTTCCATGATTTATAATAATTGGAGTAATGCAAATGCATATTTTCTAAAAAAAAGTCAGTTTTTAGGGAAATTTTGCCGGGAATGGGGCTTTAAGCTCATGACCACAAGTCATAGAATGATTATATTGAAAGGAATGTGAAATATCTAGGTTGTCAATACCATAGTATTCTATATAACTGGATCATGTCTGCCCGTAAAATACATTGATATTCCAAAGTGGGAAGACACAAAAATTGTAATCTCTCTGGATATGTGAAATGACAGATCTCAGATATTATTTTTGTTGCTCTTTGCTGAACAGACTAAATTTTTCTAATCAAACCAACGTGATGACGGTGGAGCCCAATACAACTATTAAATTCCAGAATTGTTTTCTTTTTCGCAGTGTGCTTTGAAAAGTTATCACAAGGCCTGCTACTTATCATAATAAAACATTGAAAAAATATCTACTACATTATGAATCATAAAATTAACATTACACATGCATCTTATACATCATTGTATATTCATTATATTATGAATTATTGTTCCATATATATAGAGATTTATTCAGATTTTCATTATATTATGAATTATTGTTCCATATATATAGAGATTTATTCAGATTAAGATAAAAAAAAATTACAGACAGACAAAAGGCTGTATATGAATGTATTATAAAAATAGCAACGTTAAAAACACCAAAATTTAGGAAATTCACAAAGAAAGTATTACAAAAATAGTTTTACAATTAAAAAACACCAAAATTTAAAAAATTCACAACACTAACGAAGAAAAAATAAACCCCAGGGATAAGAAGCACAGCACCAGACAAAAAAACCAAATTAAAATTTTAAAAAAGGAAGAAATAAAAAATGCATGAAAAAAAACAACACATAAATTAAAATAAATTTTTTAAAAAGCAAAACACAATTTACGTAGACAGCCAAATTCTTACATACAATATGGTATGGTATGGTATCTAATATGGTACAGAGATCAATATTTCTCTTCGTGATTTGCAGAACAGAAAATTGCTTTAGGCAAAATTAGATTTTTTATGAGACATACAATCATATACATGAATTATTTTTTTATGAGTGTAGAAAATCCATAAACTACAATATACATTATATTTAGGTGTAGTAAGTTATTGTAGCCATTATATGAGATTGACTCTGGCAAAAACAAGAGCTTGTCGCCAAAAAACGAAAATGTCTTTAAACTAGCTGAAATCCCCATTTATTCATTTATTAATCCATGTTCGACTGAAAATATAAATTGTCATATCTTCGCCATTTGTTATCTTTTTTTTAACATGTTTTGCATCAATTATAGCCTTTGACCTTAAGATTGAATAAAGATCTAATGATACAATTTTTTTTTATTTTTTGAGACAAGAGCCTATTTTTGATAGAATGGCTGTGCTTGTGTCTAAATCTAAATACTGTACATTAAATAACAACATACAATTATAGTACATCAATCATTTACTTATTTTTTTTAAATGTAGTAGTTATTGTAGCATTATTTTAGCAATGCATGTGTACTGCACTGTACATAGTTATATCAAATAATATTTCTGAAAAAAAAAAAATAACGAAGTTTGCATTGGCATAAAATCCAAGAGTTCAGATTACTTGTTTTATCTGCTGAGCTGTTTGTATCGTATTCTGTTGAATTTGGCCAGGACATGTTTCAATCAAGGTATTGTTTGTTTAACATGCAATAAATTCTTTTGTTCCTTGTTTGATTATTTAATAGACACAATTGGTGACCAGGAATTAGTAGTAGTGGTACACAGTGCTAAGTTGGTGTAATTTGTGTAAAAGTATTAAATGTTACGATTTGAGAAACAATGCCCCACTGAAAAAGTGAGAAATAGAAAGGAAAGGCAATAAAATTATTACAATAGTTTTTTGAACTCATGTAATTATTTGTGTACCTTGAACTAGCCTGAGTTCAACCAGCCTAGAAATTCTAGTGTGTCCTACCCGCAGAATGTGGATTAAAGACTTTCACATACAAACCTGCCTTCAGATGTACAGAAGCCTTAGCCTAAAACTTGTTGAAAAATTTTAATATTTGTGGCAAAGACAAGCCAAACCAGTCACTCGTAAAAATTAATTTTGAGTTATTAATACAGTGTTAGAGAGTAAAATAATAGCTATAAAATGGTAAAAAATCATTCAAATTGCTACATTTCCTTATGAGGTTACAAGCATTTAAACGTAGAGCTGTTTAAAGAACAATATATGAGAAATCAGCCTTCAAAGTTTATGATTTCAGGCATTTCTCATGCAGAAACTATCTTCAAATCCTTAAAAATTATTGTTTTAACATTGAAAATTGGGAAAATAACAGCATAGAATGATGTATAGATATATAAAGGTTAGTTTAGTGCAATAAAATAAATTTTTTTAAATTTGACATTCCAGCATATTTTGGCCATTTTCTTTGAAACACGATTTGCGACAAGTGACTGGTTTGGCTTGTCTTTGCCACATTTGGGTCCAGTGTTTTTACTCACTATATTCCCAAGTTTCAAATGTCATTGAAGGTGTAATTGTTTACTGGCATTCAAACTCTCCAAAGAAGTTAAGTGGCCGAGCGATAAGGCGGGGCGCCACTAACAACAGCCTTAACAATGGAGCTGGTTCCAGCCGTTCCCCACCCAGGGTTCGGTTGGTAGAACCAAGTCCTAGGTCTAGTGTATATATCTGGCTCGTGTGCACTTTATAAGAACCCATTGCATCTTTTGGAAGAGTAGGGGATTACTTGATGCTATGGTTCATTTCAGCCCCTGTAGTTGTGGAATAATGTGAACATGTAGCTACTATGAGTGGCTCTTTATGGCTGTTAGGTATTCACAGACCATGCACCTGCCAATTCAGCACAATGACGCTGCCAGTTATGAGTTATTCTCAAGTGTCAATTGCTCTGTTTACAATTTTGCACCAACTTTATGTGACATGAGCCTGGTCGCCGATATGTCATTTGCATGTACAATATGTAGCATGTTGCTTGCAATTTGCATGTTTGTAGTTTAATGTTGCATGATTAATCATTTTACCCAGGGTGCAGTTGGGGAACCAGGCATTATGGGTCCTAAAGGTGACATAGTGAGTATGCATGAACTTTTATCTACTCAATTATAAACACTAACTGCTTTTTTTCCCTCTGTTTTGTCTGCTATGTTTACATTAAAAATGGATGCTTCTTGTAAGTTGAAATTTTCTTTTGCAAATATTATGACCTCTTATTTAAGTAACTATTCTTATGCTCTTAATGATAATAAAATAATGAATTAATAATGGATGTGACCTTAGTGTCAAACTTTGATAATCAGAAAATCATCTCCAATTTTTTTTTTATCCATTTTTTTCTAACTATGATTAGGTCGATCTTTGATTTCTTTTTTCACTTTATTTTTTATTTTTTAAATTATTTATTACTACTGATTTTTTTTTTACTTGGTTTAAGTTGAAAATAGGTTTTCATCGTGTTCTTGGTATTAATAGTTCAATATTCATCACGTGTGAAAGGACTGGATTCATTAAGTTAAACATTATTTTAAGACTCCTCAATAGTATTTTTTTATTCTACACCATTTAAAATGCAGAAGTCAAGGTAAATGGTGATCATGTTACTTGATTTTTTTAAATTCTTTTTTATTGTCATTTTTCTTAATTTTTATTTGTGATGAATAATGTGGGATAACTATGTTACTGTACTTAACAAGTTGTTTAATTTATTTTCAGGGTGTTGGTGTTAGAGGACCAAAGGTAGATAAAATGTTCTTTTTTACTACCTTGTTAACTAAAAGAAATAATAAACTAATAGATAAATAAATGAAACTATGTTAATTTGCAACTTTTAAGTCAATTTAAAGAAACATAAAAATATTAAACTTCCAATAAATTGACATACAGTAGATTAATAGTTAACACACTAAGTATGTACTGTAATTCCATTGAACGGGTAATGTCTATACTTTATATTTCTAGAAAGCTTTGTTTCCATACAATCACTATATGCTATCGCCCGAAAGCTTTCAGTGATGCTGGTTGGTCGGTCGAACCAACGACCTTTCCCGATAGCATTGGGGAATGCTATGTAGTACAACGATCGCACTGAAAACACTGTACTAGCGAAAGCGCAGGCTTAGAATGAAAAATAATGAACTAATACATATGGGAAGCATATGAAATGTAAAGGCCAACATTTTTAACAAGAGTACAAAATATATTTTTTAGTGGGCAGAAAGTGTAGACACAAGTTCTTTTTTATGAAAAGATAAAATGATGTCATGTCAAAATGACACATACCATATAAACTTTTTATTGTGTAATCTTTCAGGGAGGACACAGAAAATGAGTATGTTTTGCACTCTTATGAAAAGGATGGAAATTATAAATGACCCCTATAGAATGGAAACTGAAGCAAAAGAAGTGGCTTTTAATGTTCCTAAATTTGGAAATAGGATCGTAGTATGGATCCAGAAGCAACTGTCACCTATTAATCAAAGGATTTCAATAAATCTTTTTTTTTTCATGTTTCAGGGAGAAACCGGCGTCCAAGGTGTTAAAGGAGAGCCAGGCGCTATTATTACGGTATTTTGAATGCATGAATTACAATTACATCATTAATAATTAACATCTCGACGAGATTTGATTGACAGATAAACCGACTAAACAGCGAGCGTCATTTAGTCCCATGATCAAAAACTTTTTCTCGGACATTTTAATTTCCTTAGACAGCTGGTTAAAATGCGAAACGTATGTAAGCCTAGGCCCAGATGTCTATGCTTGGTTATAGATACCCAGCTTTACATGTGCAGTGCGCATCAGTGACTTGGCCTTTGCCAACAACAAGGTTGACTGAATGCGGCTTTTCCCTCTTCATTTGGGAGCGAAATACAGATGCTTTTACAACAATTTCCCGGCCATGTTCCATTAAATAGATTAACACTATGACTATATGATTCATTTGCATACCGCCTACCCTGAATTCTCTTTCTTAAAGAAGGTTGATAGCAAAGAAAATTTTCGCTAACTCAGTAAGTATAGCCGCCATAGTCTAAGGTTTTCGTGACTTTGTGGGCGGGGCTTCGCGTCCTTGTCGACATGTCAATTAAGAAGTTTTTTCAGAATCAAAGATGTGCTAAAAATTTATGCACGGTATACATATTCCCTTCATAATAGGCTAAGGGATGTTGATTTTTCAATTTTGATCTTTGTATATTAGCTGGATGTAATGCTGTCAAGATTGTTTTTTTTTTAATTAACAGAAATTAGGGAGCTTTAGCATGAAGACAGCGCAGGAATGATTCACTCATTAAATAACACAAATACACATCGACAAAAAAATTAATGAACGACACGACTCATCCACTACATAATGTTATTGAGTAATTCTGGTTTCCACTTAAATGTACCACATGCTACCGCTATAGAAATAATATTGTTCCTCTCTGTACATCTACAATAGATTTTAAAGGCCTCTTTAAATGTTATCAGTGACGCATGTGATGTTAGACATGGATTCAAGATACAAGATAATTTCGATGTTCCAAAAAAATTTTACAAGTATAAAATGAATTGAGTAATGTAATAATGATTATATATTTATTTTTTAATTTAATTATTATCCCAACTAACAGCAAACATAAATTGGCCACTTACTGGTGGGAGCACAAACAACGAACGGATACATAAATAACATTAAGAGTACAAATGCAAGAATAAATACTAATAATGATAGTACTAATGAGTACTAATAATAATGATGATAATATCAAATTAAGTAGACCTAATATGTTATCAGTAAATAAATGCAATCTATGGATTTATGTGGCAAAGACAAGCCAAACCTGTCATTTTCATAAATCGTGTTTCAGAGATAAATGGCCAAAACATGTTGGAATGTCAACATTTTCAAAATCTATTTTATTGCACTAAAACTAAACTTTATATATCTATACATCATGCTGTGTTGTTATTTATCAAATTTTTGGTGATAGTCTCTGCCTGAGAAATGTCTTAAATCATGAACTTTGATGGCTGATTTCTCCTGTAACTTCATATTGAAATATCACACTTGACTTTAATTAATAACTAAAAATAGCAGGAGTGACTGGTTTGTTTTGTCTTTGCCACATATATCATGTATAGATATTGTATTGTTTACTAATCTTCGCGTCCTTGTCGACATGTCAATTAAGAAGTTTTTTCAGAATCAAAGATGTGCTAAAAATTTATGCACGGTATACAAATTCCCTTCATAATAGGCTAAGGGATGTTGATTTTTCAATTTTGATCTTTGTATATTAGCTGGATGTAATGCTGTCAAGATTGTTTTTTTTTTAATTAACAGAAATTAGGGAGCTTTAGCATGAAGACAGTGCAGGAATGATTCACTCATTAAATAACACAAATACACATCAACAAAAAAATTAATGAACGACACAACTCATCCACTACATAATGTTATTGAGTAATTCTGGTTTCCACTTAAATGTACCACATGCTACCGCTATAGAAATACTATTGTTCCTCTCTGTACATCTACAATAGATTTTAAAGGCCTCTTTAAATGTTATCAGTGACGCATGTGATGTTAGACATGGATTCAAGATAAAAGATAATTTCGATGTTCCAAAAAAATTTTACAAGTATAAAATGAATTGAGTAATGTAATAATGATTATATATTTATTTTTTAATTTAATTATTATCCCAACTAACAGCAAACATAAATTGGCCACTTACTGGTGGGAGCACAAACAACGAACGGATACATAAATAACATTAAGAGTACAAATGCAAGAATAAATACTAATAATGATAGTACTAATGAGTACTAATAATAATGATGATAATATCAAATTAAGTAGAATTAAGTAGTAATATGTTATCAGTAAATAAACGCAATCTATGGATTTATGTGGCAAAGACAAGCCAAACCTGTCATTTTCATAAATCGTGTTTCAGAGATAAATGGCCAAAACATGTTGGAATGTCAACATTTTCAAAATCTATTTTATTGCACTAAAACTAAACTTTATATATCTATACATCATGCTGTGTTGTTATTTATCAAATTTTTGGTGATAGTCTCTGCCTGAGAAATGTCTTAAATCATGAACTTTGATGGCTGATTTCTCCTGTAACTTCATAATGAAATGTCACACTTGATCTTTAATTAATAACTAAAAATAGCAGGAGTGACTGGTTTGTTTTGTCTTTGCCATATACATCATGTATAGATATTGTATTGTTTACTAATCTTGTATAATCTTTTATTACTATATGTAAGTGCTAAACCAGGAGTACTATGAAATAGACAGAAAGGAAACAATTCCATAGCACATTCACCTGTTAATGTAGCAAATATTGTTTCTCGGTGGCATATGCAGTGCAGTATTAAAAAGTAGGAAGTTGCCATAAATGGTTTGAAAATAGTTTCTTGAGTCTGCTTAAATGGAGAATAGGAATCTGTTCCAAATGTTTTTGATAAGTTTGTCAACCCTATATTTCTGGCTCATTAGCAGGAGGTTTTCAATAGTTTGGCTGAATTCCTATAATACCTCTATGAATAAACCAAACCACCCTTTCCCCTTGCATTAAAAACCGTCTAAATGATGATTAAATTATTCATTTACAGTTCATGATTTGAATGCTTCAATGTGTGTTTCTCCCGACCCCAACAATTCACCTAGCCATCCCAGGCAACCTACTAAAAGAATCATTGTTACAGGCAACAAAGCATTTCAATTCTTGAAGGGAGTGGTTTTATCAGGGCAGATCCAGGGGAGGGTCCCCCCATTGGAGCTAAGCCTTTCCCCACCTCCAAAAAAAAAAAAATAGAGAAATAAAAAGAAAAGGAGAATGGCTCAGCCTTCGAAAAAAAAATAGAGAAAGGAAAAGAAAAGGAGAGTGAGAAGAGCATGCTCCATCCTGTCCATGGCAATTGCACTTTTATTGTAATGTGTTGTGCAGTAAATAAGGTTTTTTATGAATATGGGCTATTGTGAAACTATCGTTATTACTATTATTAAAATTTTATCATAATTATGATGGTGATTATTTGCAGCTAATGTATTGGTGGACATGTACAGGCAAGATCGTTACATAACTTTGAAACAAGATTGCAAAATAAAATAATAACAAATCTTGTTACTATCTTTTGTATTTTTGTGTATTTCCATCTGTCATCTTTTAGTGGTCATGAATATTAATTGTTCTTTTTTATCGAAACTACACGACTAATAGAGGGTAAGCGAGTGCATGCACCTTCTAGTTATTACTAATAATAGTAGTATTGAAGAATAATTGTAATTACTATAATTATTGTTGCTGCTGCTACTATTTGTACTAAACTAAGTGTGTACTATTTTCATTATATATTATTCTAGAATGAAGTATTAAACATCAACAATTTTACATTGTATTACAGTAGAACCCCTCCTTTGGGACACCACCTATTCAGGGTACACCCCTATTAAGGGACACTTTTCCGTGGAACGAGGGGAAATATATCTTTTGACACTATGGCCAACCCCCTATTAAAGGGGACACACCTATTAAGGTGATGGGGACATTTTGTGAGAGTGCCAAATGGTCAAATAACCCCTATTAAGGGGACACTTAATTTTGTTTCAATGTATCACGACAACACAGCAGTCTTAAAATAAGAAAAATTCATTCAACTTTATATTTTGAGACCCTTTAAACAATAAACCAGAATTTTCTCCCCTGAATTCTTAAAGTGAACATTGGTATAGTCTTTACTGCATGTGTTACTCCGTATATAAAAACATTGTCAATATTGACCCATAACCATGGGGATTTTTTTTATTTGTTTTTCATGTACTTTCATACAGGATTCTAAATCGTTACTCTATTCATCGTACTATCCAATAAAAAGCTCAATATTTAAAAAATTATAAAAAAGAATATTTAGTCAATAACATTGCATCACGAAATAAGATTGGGAACGTATAAGACTATTGTTGTTTTAATTGCATTTCTACTGATTTCATATATAAATTTTGCATTGCTAATTATTGCTATAAATTAGTTCTAATTCTACTGTAACTGAATCCTATGTCAATAAAAATAAAATTATAAAGAATGTATGTAATGGTTATATGAAAACATTCCAAAAACACCTGTTAAGGGGACAATCCCACATTTTTGGTTACTGTCCCCTAAACAGGGGTACCCCTATTATGGGGACACTTTAAGTCCCGAATGTGTCCTCTTAATACTGTATCATGCTTTTTTGTGACAATATTTTTAATAATGTGACTATATCAATGTTTTTTGTTAGCCTCCATATGGTTCTGACGCGCAAAAAGGAAGCAAAGGTTCTATGGGTATCCCAGGAAGACCAGGCCGCCGAGGTGTGTATAGCCTAGCATGCTGGTAATATTGATATCTATTCCTGTGTGACTACATCTTTGACTTTCTGTCAGTTCAGTGTACCCTTGTCTGTATCTATGTCTCTGTAGTTTTTCTCTCAGTCTCTGTCTACCTGTATCCGCCTGTCTGCACCTTTGTCTGTCCTAGTCTTTGGAATATGGTTTTAGATTCTGAATAAAGTAGCTTAGCAATGTGAAATTCCCTCCTTTAAAGCCTTTCCATCTATATACAGTATACATCACCAACAGTATATAAATATACAAATTTAATTTGTATATTTGTATACATCACCAACAGTATATAAATATACAAATTAAATTTGTATATTTATATACTGTTGGTGATGTATACAAATATACAAATTAAATTTGTATACTTATATACATCACCAACAGTATATACATATACAAATTTAATTATTCAATTGTTCTGTTCTACCATTAGATTTACAGTACAAGTTTATGAATTTCAGTTTTTTTTATGGTTACATTATGAAAATATATTTATTATAATGGGCTTTACTCATTTAAAACTTATTATGTATATATATATCAATTTTGTTAAAGGTTTACCAGGTGTTCCAGGTGCACCTGGTCTGCAAGGAATTAAAGGAGCTAAAGGAGACAGAGTAAGTTACCATTCAGTAAATTCATCCTATCCTTATATTGTTCATCAAAAACAAAATTAGACAAAATTCTCGTATTGCATGACCAGGATCCCAACAATGCAGGTACCAGTTGGTATTAGCAGGTTTTGAACCTGACTTCCCCAGTCTTAAAGTTGCTTTTGCTGCACTTTATAGAGAGACTGTTTAAATCATATTTTTAAACTCTGATCTAATTATCTCTGTAACGCCGACTAATCTACAGTACCTTTAATATTTCCTATAGGGCTTTGATGGCCGAGATGGAAGGAATGGAGCTCCTGGAGCTGATGGTATTTATGGACAAAAAGGAGATCAAGGTGTTCCAGGTCTTAAGGTAGGCTTTTTTGATTTACTGTATTTCTTTAGTGTTTCCATGGTTTGATCAATCCAAATCTTAAGGTAGGCTTACATTGATTGGTTCTTTAATGTTTCCATGGTTTGATTGATCCAGGGCTTAACTTTGAGTTGGTTTAAAATGATTCCATGGTTTGATTGATCAAGTTAGGCATACTTTGAGTGTGTCTTTAATGTTTTTCATAGAATAATTATTCAAACTTAGCTAGGTTTTCAAGATGATCTTTCAAATTTCCATTCATTTCTGTTTTGATAATTTTTCCTGTGTACCAACATATACAGCACTATACACAGAACAGTTAATTCAATCAGTTGGTTGCTAAAATTGCTATTGTGCAAGATATATCCAGAATAATATTCTACTCATTTCTGTCAGCAGAAGAACTAATAATTAATAATTTCTTTTACTGATTGTATAGGGAGAGCCTGGTGTTGCTGTCCTGCCTGATGGCAGTGCAGTACAAGGTCCACCTGGTCCACCTGGCCCACCGGTAAGTTTAAACTTGTAAGAATCTACATGCATAAACATTAACATTTTTTCATTATTGTGATTGGACTGTGAAGTACTATGCTAAATCAAAGACCATTAGGCCCAGAGCTATGGCCAGAGCAATGCAGACACGTCTGGCTTGTAATAAAACTCCACAAATAGAAATGGTTTGATGTATACTAGCAGGGGCGGGTCCAGGATTTGAAAGAGGGGGGGGGGTTCAAAAACGTTTCCAAAAACACCCAAAATGAAAGGGGGTTCCAGGGGTCCTCCCCATGGAAAATTGTTATTCCTATATAGCCGGAAATGAGCTTTCCCGACTTCTGAGGAGTATTTTTATTAACCTTAATTTATTCAACGTTCAAGATTTTCCCCTCTTAAAAAAGGTCAGGTAATTTTATCTTTAGACAAATACATAGAGAGAAAAAAAATCAAAGACATAGGCATAGTTTTTGGTCGAACCAAAAACTTGTGTATAATTTTATTTAATTGAAGGTTAGTTGGGCTAAACCTAGTTTGTCTGATCTGCCAACCTATACCTAGGTATGTTAGCAGGCTTGGATCTAGGATTTTTCATGACCTTCGCACAGATGGGGTGGTCCTTGCAGTGGTGGATCCAGAAATTGAAAATACAGGGTGACCAGAGAGGGACCTTCACAGATAGACAATTTTCTTCTTTTTTTTTTCTCCATTCTCGGGCCGGGGTTCCCCCTTGAAACCGGCACTGTATGGGGGAATCCTCTAACGCTCAGGTAACCAAGGGTTTTAAAACAAATACCGTATATAGGCCTATACGTGAGTAGGCCTATATAAAATAGCAAATTACGATCAAAAAAAGGGAGTCGTCTTACACGACATTCAAATTTTAGATTTTATAATCATGTTCTTGTTATGTGCGGATCGTCCGTAACACGTGACTGTAATGAAGCAACTAAATGTTGTGTGAATGAACGCAATTTTAAATACGGGAAAATTTGATTTTGGTGGTGAAGATTTTTAAAACTCATAAAATGGTATTATTTGGAAGATTACCCTTGCATTTGGCTCCATTTATCCAGCTAGATGCAGTATCAAGACCAAAGAAAATTAGGAATTCCGACCATGACAGACAAGGGTCGTCTTATATGCCAGACATACAAATATCAACCAAAAATCTTCTAGAACTCGGGGGTCGTCTTATACCCGGGTCACCTTATAGGACATACGCAAGTATATACTGTACGGTATTGCTTATTACGGAATTTCTACAAAAAGATAAATGAACATATTCTTGAGAGATAGGACTTAATGGGCCAGGTCGTTGTACAAGATTACTCAGACACGCCTTGAATATCAACTATAAACAACATATTATGTATGGAGATATTTCCCCCTGTATATCAAGGACTTTGAGGACAGGAAGGTTAGCATTTGCTGGACATTACTACAGAAGTAAAAATGAAGTTTTTTCAATGGTTCTCTTTTGGGAACCAACCCATGGGAAAAATAAGCATGGATGGCCCCGACTGCACACATTGAACAATTAGAAAAAAATCTACTGTAAACACACACCTGGGCCCTGTGGTTTTCTGAGACTAGGGGCTCTTTTCCGGTCCCGGATTCCACTGTGGGGTTTAGATGTGTTTTTTTAAACATGTTTGCCATTTAATATAATTAGAAATGTTTTTAATGACTATGAAATGATATGATATTAGTTGAGGATCTAGCAGTACTAGTAGGAATTTGAAATCGTACCACCTCAGCCCCACCATGATTGGGACTGAGGTAAGAAAATTTATGGTTATGGCACCCCTAGATGGCCGGAAATAGCACTCACAGACTTAAAATTTTAACATCATGCATTCTCTTTTTATCTCTATTGTTTTCACAATTGACAAACCTTGGGCCTTAATCTGTCACTGGACCCTGTGGCTCATACATTCTGAGATTTTTTTAAACAGATACGGCATTAACGCTCAGAAATATCTAAAAAATATTTTGTTTAAAAAATTAAAGAATATTGAGAACAAACTATGGTCAAGTCATATATATGTTATCATTTAGGGCTTAATAGACATTTCATGAATCTATGATATTATAATATTGACAACAATAGTACATGTATAGGTGGAATTTTGCCCAACCCGTCGTGAAAATGTACTGAATACTCAGTACATGTAAAAACACTTGCAAAAATAGTACCCGCTGCTTACTTGGGCTCAAATTCAACCCTGGCCATCAGGTGCAAGCTCGGTGGTCTAGAGGTATGATTCCAGGCTAGTGATCTGGAGAACATGGGTTCGAGTCTCCCGAGAACAACTTTCAAATATTTTTTGCGAGTGTTTTCACATGCCCTGAGTATTCAGTACATTTTCACGACAGGTTGGGCAAAATTACACATATAGGCCCACTAATTGATTCGTGACGCAAATCCAGGTATTGTCTATTCCATCACGATAATAACAATTGCCATTCAATAATAGAACAGTCACCGACCTACTTGCATTGAAGTGAATCTAAAATGTATTCATGAAGTTATGATGATCTGAAGTGTTCAAAAATGTGCACAATAATCGTTGAACCAACTTTAAAAATACAACAAACACAAATGTGCGTGACGATATTTTATTGCTTTAGAAAAGTATATTAGTACATCGTATATGTAAGGGCTTGTTTTGTTGGTTTTTTTTTACTTGCAGTGTTTGGGAAATAGGTAATAGGTAAATTGTAATGAATATAATCAATATTTATAGCCTCTAAAACCTAATATTATTGAAGGGTCCTTTTAAATTTAAATAGGATTTTTTTAAAGTTATATTTTTAGATCGTTAGACCTATTGAACAAGCCCCCAGTAGACCCGGCCGCAGTGCTGTGCACGCATTTACTACACTGCCCATACCTAAGCCACTGGACCAGAGTATTATTATATTATAACGTTTGTTATGCACTGTATGCGCTATAGAAGTGGAAGACCATAATGTATTGGGAATGTACCTCTCTGATAGGGCCTACAGTACAATCAGTGTAAAAGTGTAAGGTATAGTGTGGATTTAAACATTGTCCTAATGGTAATGTTACAAAATAAGTGTCAATGAAAGTAAGTATGATTGTTGGAAATGGCCAACATTTTATTTTTATTTTTCACACTAACCTTCACCTGGGCAAACTGGGCAAAGGTCTGGATCCGCATCTGGTTAGCATGCCTTTTGTGCCAGGATCCAGTAGTATTTTGTTACTTTTTTCACTGGAAGGGGGGGGGGGTCGAACCCCCTGGATTTGCCACTGACTAGTTGATACTATTAAATGCACATAAAGCTAAGAATGGTCAAACACTAAAAACTAAAGCCCATCATTCGTGGATACTCGGATACTTTATAAAGTAAATTAATGTTAAATAATAGAAATAAATTTTAATCGATCAGTAGCAGTTATTATATAATCTTTGATTTGGAAAACACAAAGCATAATTCAATTATTCTATTTTAGGGTCCACCTGGTATTGGCCATCAAGGCATCCAAGGACCAGCTGGCCCACCTGGGCGTCCTGGAAGAGATTTGTCTGGAGCTAGTCTCAAAGGTAAGTTGAAATACTGAACATCATTAACTGATTTATGAGTTACCTTTATTATAATTTTGAAAATTGTTTATTGTTAAGGGATGAAATAAAAAAAAATCAAAGAATCACATGAGGTTCGTGTCAATAGTTACGTTGGTGGCATTTGTCATAATATTGTTGGTAGTGGGGTTGGTTGTAGGTGATAGTGTTTTTGTTATGGTACTGGGTGAGGTACTCAGTAACTCCAATTGCAAGGTTCTGGGTTGTGGAGTGTCAACAGGTCTCAAAAGAGGTCAGTGACCACTGGTAAGGCCGGGGCATCCATTTCCCCAGAGTAAAGTGGAAATTTATTTTAACTATACAACTAATTTCTAAGCAATTCGTATAATTTGCTAAATGGTAGGGACCATTCTTCACTAAATGTATTTTTCTCCCTGAATTCAAATTAATAGTGGGATGGCTTACAACCACTATTGAAATATATATAACAGTTGTTGCAGGAGGCATTTTATGAATTTAATTTCCATTGTCCAGAGAAGTGGTTTTTATTATAACATGAGATTATGCTGTGGTCCCTTTACAAGAAGTTCTTAAATAACTAAAGATAAAACATGTTATGCAAACCTGGTGATCTACAGTATCAGTAAATAATAGCTAGAAATTAAGATGATAATGCTTAAAAAACTTATTTTCAATAATTAGTAGTAAGGATATATCATTAGTTGAAAATGATAACTTGGAAATAGGAAATATACATGATACATGATTATAGTAATAATGGGAATAATTAAAATGCAGAACTGTCATTTTAATTAATGGAAAATTGTCATTGCAGGAACAAAAGGAGATACTGGGAATCCTGGAGCACCTGGTTCAACTGGACCTAGGGGTCCCACTGGCCCACCAGGGATATCAGGTGATGGAGGAGGCAGGAGCTACTCAGGGGTAAGCTTATCACTAATATTACATAAAGGAGCATGATTTGTAACATATCAAGCAGCCAAGTTACCTTATTGTAAATTATGCGAGTTGAATGGCTAAGCGGTTAAGGTAGGGGACAACGAAATATACAGACATAATATCATCAATTTCTGAGTAGGGGGGTTACCCTGGTGTACTGGTTTACCCTGGTGTACTGGTTCATACAGCCCAGTTCTGGACAGACAAGAGATAGCTGGTACTGGCTTACTGGGTAGCTCAGACACACAAAAAGCCCTTGGGGAGAAGCAAGTTACTGTACGGCCGTCCCGAGGCAAAACAACATAATTGACATTTTTGTCATTTTGAGATAATATCATTTGGAAGTAAATTAAACACGTCTGAATTACCTGTAAAACTTTCAGGTCTCAATAATGAGTGTTTTGGAGATAGCACCGCCTATCTTTAAGCACAAAACTTAAAATCTAGTGATTTTCCGTGGCAAAACAACCTAACTACAAGATTACGAGGCAAAACAACGTATCTGTGATGAAGATACGTTGTTTTGACACGGAATGGTATTCAAAAATGGTCTTGAGCCGATGGAGTTTGGCAAGGCAAAATCAAATGGTTATTGTTGTTTTTATATCAATAATTTTAAACAGCGATGTATGAAAGGCTAAATAATGCATATGATTGCCCCAAACGTGATAAATTACAAAAATATGTCGCACTTGCAACAATACAAAGCCTGACATGTTTCCGTGGCAAAACAACGTATCTGTAATTATCGCTAATAACTTTGGAAAAAACAAATGGTTGTAAATAAAATTTTAAATATAATCACAATGTCTATAGATATACAATCCTGCAAAATTTCATGATCTAGTCCACACCTTCAGCGCTTTGAGACTTCGGTATAAAGTATTATTTAACTTCCAACTACTTTATATTACCACTATAAAATGCCCACTTATCTTATCCTGCTTGTATTATGTTTGATAGTGAATGCAAGTTGTTTGTATGATTTTAGGCTTTAGTGCTCAAGTCTGAAGACGACATGATGGATATTGGTAGAGACGCTCCCATTGGTACGTTTGTGTTTCTGCAAAGTCAGCAGGAATTGTTTATACGAGTCATTGGCGGATGGCAAAAGATCATGGTAGGTTTGAGCTATTATTTACTTCAGAAGCTTAGCATCCTCTATCATATTTTCTCTGTCAGACTCAGTAATGTATGGTCAGATTTTTTTTATAAGATCAATTTTGATATGTAAATGTATATGTATGATCTTTTGTTGATTATAAGCTTATGAAATTTGTCCCTGAGAGCAGTTTCTTTAAGCCCTACTCTTTGGATATTGTTTCTAAGATCTCACAAAATGACAGTCTATACATACCCAAGGACATGTGTTTGTGGGACAGCACAAGTATTTTGGGACAAGTGTGTGTTCCTGGACCTGTTCTGATTCATCAGTTGATAAGTTTAATTGACACTCTGGAAAGCACTATGGTCACCATGAGACAATCTCCAATATCTAGTTTTGTTTTTTTTTGTACATGTATCAATTATGCAAACGAGAATAAAGGCATAAAATCCCATCCAAAAGACATGGTTAGGTATAGTAAGTAATGGACAGAGGCAAGAAAGGCGTTGGCAGGTCTCAAACTTGAAACTGTCCACCAAGTACAGTCACTTAGCATTGCAATATCTTGCCCATTAGAACATTGTTCAACTTTCAATATACTGTATACTTTTTGGTCAGGTATATCTGAAACAATCCACTATCTGTTTAAACATTTTTAAGTCTGACAGATAAAAAACATTGATAGAGCAAGCTTTGTTGAATAGTTCAACATGCATGCCTTCAGTTAATAGAAATCACTTGTCTCCTTTGTACACATGTATTGCAATATCCCTGCTTTTGTATATCTGTAGCCATGATATAGATCTTTATCAACATATTTTATACATAATATTGATTATTATATTATAATTTTAACAACAATAATGATCATTTTTATTTATCGAAAGCATATTATGATAATACATAACAAGAATAATGATAACATAATTCAGAACCAGAATGACTCAGCCTGAGCCATTCTGGTATCTTATACTATCACATTAATTATATTGAATTTACTGTTCAGTAAATTGTTTTACAAAAAAAAATGTGGAATTATTTTTGGTGTAGTAATCATTCTTTTGGTTTGATTTTCAAGTTTAAAAAACTCTTGTAGCACTTCACAAAAAAAAATAATAATAATAAAAACCCACTAATAATCAAATGCCCTGTGTCTGAAATTACTTACAAATTAGGAGCAAGGTAAGATCTGATTAAAACTGGATTATCATAATCTGGATAATAATTTCAGACATGCCTTCATGGTTAATTTTACATAGTTGAAAGAAAGTAGAATGTTTTGCACACCCAGCCCCGGTCTAATCTGTTTATAACCCAGAAACTAGTTAGCAACCATCTGTTATGCTCTTGTGTCTAACATACTTTAAAGTTAAAAGTTACACCACTGGCGTACAGTAGTGGACCCTCTGTACAGCAGAAAAGGCCAGCCTAGTTTAGTTTTGCAAGTTCACGTGCAAGTGTGCATGTTCAACATACAGTTTTTATTGATAACATGACCATTAGTGACAGGTCACAGTGACTATTGGGGGTGGGGAGAAGGGGTATAGTGTGTGCCACTACACTGCCATTTAATAGCAATCCAACCCTTGTTGTAGAGCATTGTGTATCCCCATGGATCCTTAGATAGATCACTCTCAATAGGGTGTCAAATAATTTATCTCCACCTATTGCCATGGTTCTAAACCATGGAGTTCAAAAGGCCCCACAATGCTCTCATCAGTTAAATGGATGATGTTGTCTTTTACAGCTTGATGTTATCTTGCCTCTTCTTCCTGATCCTACAACTGTAAGTATACTTCATACAGATGATGGCTTAATCCCTTCCCTCATTGCTTTCGAGATTTTCTCAACATTGTATGGCATACCCCTTTAATAATCGCTTTATGTAGTATATTCCTTACTAATCTGTTAAACATTGTCTGAAAATGTTATGGCTTATCCCCTTTAATCTTATCCTATGGATTATCTCAATTTATTATAATGTTAATTCGTTAAAAATCTAATCATTTAAGGATTATCTTAACATTTTTTATCATATTCCTTTAATAACTTAGGGATTATTTCAGCATTTCTATCTCAATAAATTCATTGCATTATAATATAGTTTTTTTTGTTTTTTTTTATATTAATACTATCAACATTGAAATAATGATGTTTAAAGCAATGATTTTGTTTTTTCTATTATTAAACCATATTGTGAAACTTAAATGTGAAATTTTAGGGTTTTTTTTTTTTTTCATTTTAAAAAACTAAGGTCAATATTGAAGTGGGTTATATTTTAAAATAATGTCAAATTTAATACATTTACTATCTTTTATAACATTATTTCTTATACATTACAATATTTAGTATATTTAAATGTACCGCAATATTTTCTCAAGTATGATATTAAATCTTTGCCAGAACTTGATAATTGTTTAATATTATTATATGCAGAAAGAAATTGTATTCATTATTTGTTAATTTTAGAGTTCCAATTCAAATGAATAATATTGTAACTTTAATTTTGAAATTTGTTTTTTTTTTTTCTATTAGGCACAACCAAGGCAGATAGAGCCTACAGAAGCACCAGGTGGGGCGCCTACATTGGGACCAGTTATACAAGCTGATGGCCTCATGGTGTGTACCAATTCATGATAAATTATACAACAATAGCTACAATAAAGATATACTTCTAGCGGAAGCATGTGCCAACTGTTTGACATTTTTTTTTTTGGTTACTTTCTAAGTGGGGACTTGATTATTGAAAAATTATGTGGAATTATTTAAAAATTTCTGATTGTTCAGTTTTAAGCTGGGTTTCAAAGAGTAGTTAGTTCTTTCTATGACAGGTCTGGGCATGGTATTACATTTCATATTCTTATATGCAGTGTTATGCCATCATTCTTCAAACCAGATTTACTCTAACAGCGTATTAAGAAAGATGAAAGCGAAGTGTCTACTGCCCCCCGTAAGCGGGAAGTAGACACAAAAATTAGCTGAATATATTCAGTCCGGCACACACTGCGTTGTACGAGTCTGCTGAAGAATCTATCTTCATTCTTTGCAAGCATATGAAAATATGGCACCATCTGTTGAATGTTGGTGACAGACTGAGTGGCTCAGATAACTCATTGTGGTACATTCTCCATGTAATCCCATCAGCCGACTTCAATCTGTTTGCTCAGTGTGTGTCCAGCTTTAGATTTATACCATTAAAATCTAAGACAGATGAATGTTCACATTAAAAAATGTTGAATTCATAATGAGAATTTTGGGGATTTGTTTCCAAAAAGGAAGACGGTTTGGTGCAGGCTTCTCTGATCAGGTTTTGAACCACATGGTTGGGAGTTCGAAGCACTTGCTGACCATTCTCAGTCAGGCAAGCAGGTTTTACAATGTGGTATGTCACTCTTGAAATAAATGTTGAGAGTAGCATCATCCAAATGCTACAGTAAGTGCATGTCAGTGGCTACCAGGTGTCTCTATGTACCTTGACCCAGTATCAGTGTGAAGTGCTTCACACTATCAAATTTCAGGCCTGGGTTTGAGTATTTCATGCCTTGTACATAAAATAAACCTTAGGCCATAAATCCATAAAGAAGGATTGATGGATGACGTATATGTTTTTCTTTGTTTTTAGTTGTACATGTACGCATTAAACGAGCCCTTGAATGCTTTTCTGTACAGTCCCAGTAGTATGGGAGGAATAAGCTCAGTGGATTATAAATGTTATAAAGAAGCACAAAGAATGGGGCTGAAGGGTACATTCCGAGCGTTCCTGTCATCTAATCTACAAGATCTACGGTCAATCGTCAGAAGGAAAGATCGCATATTACCAGTTGTAAATTCAAAGGTCAGTGTGTTTGTATCTTTATAGCATTTGTTTTACTAGCTGTCAGTTAACGGTAATAGCATTTCTGTATACAAAAACCCTAAATTTGGCTGGTAATCAGTTTAAAGATTTTTATCAAAATATCTGTAATTCAGTGGGATTTTTTTTTTTGTCTAATTTAGGTTGAAAGCTAACAACATATTTGATTTTTTTCAAGTGTTAATTTGATGATTTTTTATTTTTTTGGTCTGTTAGATCTCTTTCGTTAATGAACAGTAGAGCCCCTCCTTTGGGATACCCGTCTTAAGAGAAATTTTTTTTTGGGTCTCAACGGTTTTCTCTTAAATGTTTGTAAACTTGTATTATGTCTGTCTTCAATTAATCCAAGAATTTTTGTAGCACCAAACTTCGACATAATATGTAACACTGACTGAATGACTAAATTTATTTAACCACTGTCCAAGAGTTCCTGTGCTAATTTAAAGTGTATTTTTAAACTTATTTGTTTTAACAAGCAAGTAGTCTAATAGAGTAGCTTTCAATTAAACTTTTGAACAAGAGAATAGCGATAAAACTAGTACTGTTTCTTTGCATTAAATTTTGAATTTATTTTACCTTATTGAAATTGATAGCCTAAAGGTTGCCATTAGATTCAGTAGATTTCAATTTCAATTTATTCAGTATTTGATTGGCAGTAAAATAGGTATCTGAATTATTACATTAAATTTACAATTTAAAATGCTTACAATAAAAAGACCAAACAATAAAACCAAAACAATTCAAAACACACTAAATACATTTTTGAAATATAATAAAACAAAGTTACGAATGAAGACAGGCAAGTAAAAAGAGAAAAATAAAAATTGGGGGAAAATTAATAAAAATGTATGCAAGGACAAAAAGATGCAGCAAAAAGACACCAAAAAAAGATGATAGAAATGTTGCTCAACAGACTGAGCAAATTTAGAAAATTAGTAATTTTTATTTGGTAATACAGTATAATTTGCTTTATTTATGAGATACATAATTTGTTTGGTAGTTGGAATAATTTTTAAGTGAATAATGTTAATTAAAAACAAAAAAAGATAACTTAACCTTTAAGGTTTGCCATCAATTTAGAGGTCTTAGCTTTTACATTGGTTTTCATTTAGTAATTAATTCTTTATTTTTCCCTTTGTGACAAACAGAAAGAAGTGTTGTTTGAAAGTTGGAATAAAATGTTTGATGGCAATGAAGCAAAATTTAATGACAAAATTCATATATTTTCCTTTGATGGGAAAGATGTAATGACAGACAGTGCAACATGGTAAGTGCAAAAGCCAATAGGTTATTTATGTTGTGCATGTGAAATAGAGGGCAGCAAACATAACTCAGAAAGACAAATTGTCTTGCACAAAAATGCATTAACCAAATCACGTTGTTCAAGAGAGGGCAGTAAAAGATATTAACACAATTACATTTCCTTGTGATGTTCAGTGCCATGCAATAAACGTTAGAAAGCGACAATTATAAATGAAGAAGCTGCATCATATTAGTAAATTAGCATATTGCATTCAGTGGCAGATTCAAACCACTTCAGTCAACGCTCCCGCCCCTCCCCCCTTCTCATGCTGGGAAACCAAGGGCATGGAAGTTTTATGGCTATGCCACCTCTAGATTAAAAGAAATGGCCCTTGAATTTAAATGCAATTTCCTTCCCCCACCCCCCACCCAAACCTCTTTCAAAACTTGAAGGGACATGGCCTTTTTCCCTCTTCCCACAAATTTTAGTATGTTATCTGTATTTCTTCCAAAGGAACAACCATACCACATTGACATCTGTGCATGTAATTAGATATTACAAAGTAGAAATATTTTGTGTTTAGGCTTCATCAGAACTTGTATGAAATGTAGGCTACGTACAGACTTGGAGATAAGCCAGGTTGAGTTAAGCCCGGCTCAACGTCAAGCCCGGCTTAACTTTGCCGGCCGTTCAGACTAGTGGGATTAGCCAGACGAGAATTTGCATAATAATGAACCGTAACCAGGAAACGTGTTTCAAAACATTGCTCACGAAACGTACGCTTGCTCACAGCTTATGTAATTGAATGCTGATTGGTCATTTTGTCACCCGAAGTCAATGGAAGACCCCCCCCCCCGTAATGATTAAAGCCCGGCTTAGGAAAGTTAAACACGGTGGCGTGCCAGGCCTAGTTGCTATAGGAACACCGACTGGCAGGTGGATAAACCCGGTGAGTTGTGCTGGGTTTATCCATATGTGTATATGTGTATATGTCAACAGTTGTGTTTTCCAAAAATTCCCTTTAATACATTTTTCCTTCATTCTCAGGCCTGAAAAATATGTATGGCATGGGTCGTATACTGATGGCAGTAGAAACGAACAACAGTATTGCAACCAATGGGTTGCGTCTAATCCAGCAATGATGGGCCAAGCAAGTCCACTGGCCAAGCACAAGCTCTTGGGTCAGGAGGCGTATTCCTGTGAATCTAAGTTGGTTGTACTATGTGTACAAAATGCTCAGCTAAATGTTAGAAAATAGTGTTCTATTATCCTAATTTTATTTATATTTGTGACCTGTCATATTTTTTTAAATGTTGAAATTATGAATGGTTTGTTCTCTTTCATAACTTTTCAGTAATGGTAACCTTGTTGGTTCATAATTCTTTTTTTTTTGTGAGTTAGGTCTTTCATGGGTTTGCACTCTTTGCCAAATTTATTGTTTTATTGCAAGTGTTCTTTGTTGTTTTTCCTTTCTACAGCATGTTGTAATGTCCTCTTTGTGTGTAGTGTATGATTAAGCATGTCAACTTTTTACATTTGTGATATTTTTTTTTTCAAAGAGCATATATTTTGACACATGGCTCTATATACTCACTTTTACAACTATGCAAATGATTTTTTTTTATGTTTCAGTCATGAATTTGTGTATCTTACTTAGCACATAAAGCTGAAATTTTATATTTAGGAAATACATTTTACATTATATTTACTTTTTAATACTGTAGAAGAATTTGGCTATAATGTTTTAAAAGTGTATAATATGTTTAAAGTTCAAAGTTCAAATTTGGGGGGTGATATGTTCATGGGTTAAGCCAAATGGCAGTTTTTAATTGTAAATTACCATCCATTTTTTGAACTTAGAGGTGCAAAGCAGTTACCAAGTAAATGTACACATTATAGGTTATGTCATGCAGGTATTAACTGAAATAACTTAGTTAATATATCTGATGTTTAAAATATGTATAAAACTTTTAGGGTTAATTATGTACTTAAATATATGTAATATAAAATTGGGTGGTATATACAGATATCAATATGTAGATATTACAGTCTGTCGGCTTAGAGTAAGTTAATTCACACAGTACAAAATTAAAAATATGCTAGGCAATAATGTTTGAAAAGATACTTAAAGGAAGATTTTAAATGAATAATAGGAGGCAAGGCTTTTTAATGTCATATCCAAATCATTTTGTACTATTTTGTAAACTGTTTTTTGCTGCAAGATACACTTACGTATGTTAGGTATATATATATATATTAATGTAATGATCAGATTATTGGATCGTACACTATAAATACAATACATTGACCCAAATGCATGATGTTTTTTTTTTTTTTTATTGGTGTCCAATGTGAAATCTGAAATGAAATAAATATATCGCTAAATTTGGTTGGTCAACGTAGTCAACACCAAACGAAACATGCCAAATGAGATTGCAGTTCATATCTGTGCCAAATACATCATGTCACTGGTTGTTGATAACAATTGAATTTAGGATAACTGTTAAAGAGCAAGATTCTGCATTTCAGAATTAAATTCCATATTCATGTATTTTTTTGTTGAAGGTACAGGGTTGAAATATAGGATACTGCAGTAGTTTTTAATAATCTGTTCAGTTTAATAGTTGAAGAATGTGTATTTCATATTTATTGCCGAAATAAAATGTAAAAGTGATCGATATGTTTAAACTCATCTTGCGTGATTTGTTAGTAACCATAGTTTATTTGCCTCTCTATAAATAAAGTAGACCAATCAAAAATATATTATCTGTCAAAGGGGCGGATTTTTGGGGGTTGAGCGGGCCAACAATTGTTTGCCCAAAATGCTTTAGAGGTTATTCTTAAAAATCTAGAAAACAAAAATTTCGCGGGGGTGCCCCTGGACCCCTAGGGTGGTGTTGAAGCTGAACTTGAAAATAACACTCTTAGTCTTCGACATAGAAACAAAAATGATGTTTCTTTATAGTGTCTAAATTTGACAGTATTGCTGATATTCAGTTTCAAATACATGAAAAAGGAGAGAATGGCAAATACCAGGAAAAGTGTACACCCACCTCAACCCCAATATTTGTTGTTGGGGATGAGGAGAAAGAAAAAAAAAATCAATGAGTAACAACACTATATGCCCAGAATTTGCATTCATTGCAACTGCATTACCATTTTCTCTAGATTCAATATTATTCCTTTTGAATCTAGGCCGAAAATCTTTATCATTCGTTTTCCTTAAAATAATTGTCCAGAACCCACGATTGTCTCCCCCAACGTTGCTCGTACTCATTGCATCATTCTTGCCATTCGTACATTCTTCCCCTCCTCCCTTCCCTGCTCTTTTCTCCCGTGTTCTTTCATTGTTCTTGCCATATGCTCTTAGTCTCGCTTACGACCTGGCCCTTGATCCCGCTAATATCACCCCTTTAGACATTAAGGCAGCTATTTATTTTTAATTTTACTTAATTTGACTTGCTTAGCATTTGGAGGATGACTAAGCACATCAACACCCACCTTAGCCCCACCATTGTTTGGGGTGAGGTGAAAGAAAATTAAGGATGGAGCACTTTTAAGTGCCATGTGTTGATTGAGGCTGGATGGTGAGATGAAATAATTTAGGGGTTTAAATTTAGGGGTGTACTGCTACACTTTGTATGTGTCTTACTCTGACTTTGACTTTGTTAAATTGTAAGTAGATCAAATAATATTTTGCAAAATTGGGAAAAATAGTAGAGGGGAGGGGAATACCAGGAGTCTCGGCACACCCCCCCCCCCTGGATACGTCCCTGTCGAAATGCACGACATCGTGTTGGGATTCAATATTTCGACATTAATCATGTCATCATCAGGAATAATGATTTCTTTTATGAAATATTATAAAATTCTTGAATTTAATGAGTGTTACTGGTAGAGTGATTTTTGTGCAAAAAGCAACATATGCAGCTCCTAGGAGGATAGGAATGTACTGGCATGATTCCGATAAATTAAAAGTATGACGTCATCCGTTAACGTTAGGGTTAATGTCGTGCGGCGAAAACTACCTAATATCCAAAGATGGTAGCACCTGCATAAAAGGTCCATTGGTATTCCAGATGATCACTAAAAACCCTCAATTTTCATAGGAAGTCTTTTCAAGGTTTTTCCCTTTACGACATAGGCCTAATCTGATTTGTTTTTTTCTTGCTGGGCCTATTTCACTTTCTAGTTTGTCTCAGTAATTATTATAGCATGATAAGTATAACACTTGGGAATAATTAATTAACTAAACAACCATAAGGTGTTATAGATATGAGTATGAAATACAGTCAACCGTAAATGGGAAGCTTTTAACATAGAATATCACAATATAAGCCTAGCCTTTTTTCCCAATAGGCCTAAGCCTGTCTCTTATACACATCTGACCTGGCCTGAGATTTATGGATTTAAGATTTTTTTAAATCACGCTTAGGCCTATCTGTTCTATTAGGCCTATGTATAACGTGTACTGATGCATATTTACATGTTTAGAAGTATTCATTTTAAGTGATCCCAGGAAAGAATTTGTATTGGCTCAAGAATAAGCTTTTAAATGGCCGCGGCTCCCCCCCCCCCCCCCCGGATACGTCCATGTCGAAATGCACGACATCGTGTTGGGATTCAATATTTCGACATTAATCATGTCATCATCAGGAATGACGATTTCTTTTATGAAATATTATAAAATTCTTGAATTTAATGAGTGTTACTGGTAGAGTGATTTTTGTGCAAAAAGCAACATATGCAGCTCCTAGGAGGATAGGAATGTACTGGCATGATTCCGATAAATTAAAAGTCATAGTATGCAAGTGTCCAGGCAGATGATACCTCCCTGATCAAGGTGTCCATAGTGTCTTACAATTCAGGAATTATTTTGAGCTTTACACTCATATTACCTTCGGACAGTGGTGGCACCAGCGTCTTAAATCTGGGGAACAAGTTGTGGGGGAAAGTAAACTTTTAGGAGGATAGATAAAATTTTAGTGGGGAAATATGCTGAAGTGTGCGTGGTCGGGCCTCATTCAAAATGCTAAGCACCCCAATTTGTGACACTTTAGGGGTTTTGGAGGCTTATTTAACCGATTTTATAGGTAGATGGTCTACTAATATGTAGAAAATACATATTTTTTCTCCCCGATGGTTTTTATTCTTTCTTTGGGGGGGGGGGGCGACGCAATATATATACACCTGTCTCTTATACACATCTAGATGTGTATAAGAGACAGCCCACTGCCTTCTGAAGGGAAGCATATGAGAGCTGTTAAACAATCTTGCCCCCCCCCCCCAATAGTGCCACCACTGCCTTCAGAAGGGAAGCATATTAAAGAGAGAGATAGATTGATGGTTTGCTATTGACATTCTTTGGCCCATGTGATTAAAACAAAGTACCAAATACTGTATAATAAAATGCCAGTACTGAACCAGATGTGATTCTGTGAGAATTAAGGCCTGTTTACACTATGATGATAATGAGTATTGTTCAATAGACTAACACCTACAGTAACTACACTTTTTATTCATTATAATTCACATACGATAAGATAAGATACGATAAAAAACTTTATTGCGATATATATAATATATATTGATGTTGAACAATTATTTCATACATATTAAAATTTAAAATCTAAAAAAAAAAAATGAAACAAGGAAATAATTAAGAAAACACAATATTATAAAATTTGATTAAACTAAAAAATAAAGTCCATTTGACTAAGCAGGGCAGCAAGTACTTATCATTCGTTGAACAACCTGGTATTAATAAAGTTTTTGTTGTTTTGTATTACATTTGCTGTAGAGGGAATTCAGTGATTGTTCTCAAGTGATATGATACATTACGTAATGACGGGAGTACATCGTTTAGTCTTTGATTAGGATTTTTAAAATTTTGGAAAATTCCCTGCACAGCCGGGTACGTCTGTCCTCCAGGAACAGAAAACTTAGAATCAAACGTGCCTCATCAAATAATTATACCAACCATGGGAAATTATTTTAACTGCCCTTTTCTGTATGTGTTTAACTGATGTAATTTGTTCACTGGTCAAACTCGTAACCCACTTTGGCGCAGCATATTCAACACTACAATAAAAATAAATTGATTCAGCAACACCAAGACCAGCTTTACGTATTTGTCTCAGGAAATAAAGTAAGTACAGTAAGTCTAACATTGTAAGTAAACTGTAAATAAATTACAGTATAACCCAACAACTAGGCTTAAGTCAAGTACAGTAATGTCAATAGTCCATATTATAATACATACTGCAGCGTTCATCCTTTACTCTACCGGTATATTCATTGTAATTTTCATGTCATTTCTTACACGCGAGTACATGTAGGTACCAGTGAACGGCCTAGGCTGTGACTGTGTTTCTTCCCTATTCCTTGGACAACAATTGGAAGCATTACACTTGTCGTAGATTGTCATGATGAACCCAATAAAAGTTAGTGCTCCCGAAATCTCGGCAGTTATCTCGGAGATGTTTTTACCTAAACCATTTTTAAGTAGGATTGCCATCAAACCAAATGTTGCACCCAATAGAATACCACCAATAAGGAATATCCACTTTGTCATACACCAACACTTCTTCAGGCAACTACGTGTTTCTGAAAGAAAATTCTTAATAATATAGTCCTAATTGAACTTGAAATATAGAATTAACAATTATTAGAGAATAGTGATGTTGATCCATACAAGTCCCCTCAAGAATTTAACACACAGTATTAATTATGCTTATTAATTTTGGAATTATTTATTGAGAAAGTGCTAAATGTTGGGGGTAGGGGGAAGGGAGATAATTGTTGGTTGAAAGTTAAGCATTGAAAAATGACAAAATGGAAGATTACTAGCCAGTTAGAATTGTATGTAGTACATAATATGATATCCTGAATATTTTGCAATATATATACCGTAAAACCTCAAATGAAAGCCCTGGGCTTGCATTTCTGCGAACTTTGGATGGGCTTCTTTTCGAGGCTATTTTTGCAAAATAAAAAGGGGGCTCCTTTTTAAAATGAATGCTGTAAATTTTGGTAATTACTACTATAAAACAATAAAGAGGGCCACTGTAACACCAATCTGTATTATGGAGTGTATTAACCGGCATTAAATCACCTAAACCACTGTCCTAATTTATTTTGTTTTTTTTAAACAAAGCCCATCCTATCTTAAAAAGAAGCCTATAGG